AAATGGGAAAGCTACTCCATTCAAAGCTCAATGAGGCTTTCCCCCCCATAAAGGAAAAAAACTCCAAGTGAATCATAAGAGAATGTCCTTCAATTGTAGAAGTACGACTAACGTTTGAATACTGCGATTGCTACACAAGCAAAGGAACACATTGGGTTGATTCGAAAATATGCAGCCGTCTATTTCTCCACACCCCAAAGTACAGATTTAGAAGAACTGCTAACTTCAGTTTGTTAAACTCTCTGACCTTTTCAGATACTGTTGATGATGCCATTTAGAAAATAGACAAAAAATAATGGAGAGTGGCACCCTTTCATAATCTCCACTTATACTGATGTTAAAACACGTACACATCCAACAATCTCAAGTTTCTTACATTTTAATCCAACCCACACCACTTACTTATATTTGGCTTAATATTTTGGTAACAATGAATTTTGGCTGATAAATGTGACAAGTCCATAAGGAATATACAGATGGTTTATTATAAAAATAGCAATTAATTCTGCTTGAAAGAGTTAGAGAAGACTTTAAAAAAAATAAATGACATTTATCCAAGCATGAAAGGCTACTAAGTTTGTCACATGTTCTTTTCCCATTCCAATGTTAAGCCTTACACATTCACTCATACAAGTGCATAATTTACTCCCGCTATTTGTCAGTTGGTCTGTATTCCTCATTAGAGTGGCTATTCTCAAGAGTACAACTTTCACATATTTTTCCTTATACTTCGGTGCTCAAAGGTGCTCAACAGAAAAGCCTTTGTGTTCCTTCACAAAAGCTTTCCTTGTACACCCAACAGATTCTGATTTCATCCTCAAAGTCACTGATAAAAATATAAAATGGCCAACATTCCATCCTTCCTAAAAAAGAGAGAACTACAGGGAAAGACAAGGTATACTGGTCCATCCCTAAATCTCTTATTCTTATCCTTAGATACGTTATATCAGGATCTATATGCGTGCACACGTGTGCAACAGTTTCTGACACAAGACTGATTTGTTATTTAAATTTCAGTTTTTCAACACAAACCAATAGTGAAGACACAGGGCCAGAAAAGTATTGAGAATGATGATTTGCTATGCACTAACAACAAAGAATACAACTAGGATATTTATAGAAAAAGAATCAAGACACCCCCACAACTTTACCTACTTATGAAAGAACACAGTGGTCAGAAGACCCAGTTGTGAATCTAGACCCCGTTACTCATTACCTGTATAACCTCAGGAAACTCACTACACTTCCGAAGTTCCTTTCTCTCTGTGAAATAGGGCTGACACAGGGCTGTTTGGAGCATTAGTAGAGGGAGATAAGAGGACACAGATGTCCCATAGTAGCTTCTTGTTACACACAGGCTGTTAAAAAACTACTTTCCCTGAATAGCACACATCCTGAAACTTGTCTCAACAGAGACTCTGAGTAGGGAAAAAGAAGATGCCACCCAAACAAAATCACGTTCACTACCTCTTCCCATTGGTAAGGGGCGGTCATGGCCTGACCACGAAGATAACCGGACTTAATGGAGGACATGTATAAGGGAGAAATACCTTCCCATTCATTCTCTTGCTCTCCCATTATGCCAAATTTTCCCACATCCAATTAACTATGGCAAAAGAAATCTTACAATGCATGAACTGAACTGATGAACTGAACGGCCCGCTGGGCTGGGGGGCCTGAAAGAAGACGGCTGAGTGTATTTGCTCATGTGGACTGGACAGAGCTCCTCAGCCAGGCAGAAGAGAGTGCTTTCCCAGAGAAAATGGTGTCCTCCATTTGCCACCTCCAGAACTAAAGCTGCTTTTACACATTCTACGTTGTATAAAAGGCTTTTATTATACACTTCCCTCCTTTGTCATAGAGCACCCCCCCCTTTGAGGGGAAACGTGCAGTAATAAGCAAGCTAGTCTTTTAGCAGAAGGTAAACAGAGTGCTGTGAACTTAAGACCACTCTGCTTTGTTCTACCCAACTGTGCAGCATTCTATATTGCTTTCATTTCTTTTCCTCCCATTTGTGTGAAGAGTTATTTTTGAAGAATTAGGCCAGAAGCAGGTCAATAATGCTTACAGATGTTACAAACATATCCGGCTATGCTCTACATAGAGAAGCATGTAAACAGTTAATGGGCTCAGGTAATGCGTCATCCTTCCTTCATCAAAATGCATTTTACTTATAATCCACTTGCATAGCTGATAGTTCACTTAAAATCTCACTGCAAAAGATGGCTCTGGGTTAACTAACCATTATGGCCACCAGCATAGTCTATAGAGCATCTCCTCTATTCAGGGCACTGCTAGTTCTACATGTAAACGAGGACTAAGAAGAGAAGCAAACAAAAAACTTAAGTCTTCATCTTCTGTTACTGGCTATTATCTGTATCTTTTTCTTTACCATAGGAAGACCTCTGTTGGCTTTCACTCCTCATAGCATCTAAGTCAAACAGTTCGGAATTAACCCCTTCAGTTGGCTTTGCTCTTCCCCAGTTGGCTCCAGGAACAGCTATAACAGAGACTCCACCAACTGCCAACTTCTCAGCCTCTTTCTCCTCCTACAGGTGGAAGGTGGTTGGCTCTCTTAGGAAAGAGGATCAAGCTATCTGGTCTAAGCATCATGCAGGAAATTTTCTTTAAAATTATGAGGCATCAGAGACCAAGACGCAAGCACGACCTCTCCACCTATGTATAGCCTCAAGACATCTGTGAGTTCAGGTAGTTACAGTGATAGAATTAGAAACCTGTCAAACTATTCTCTGTGCCCTTTTTACCACCTTATTACATAAGGTATGATTAAAAAATATGATACATGTTCAAATTTTTAAAATATATTACAGCAAACGACACACTGCCATTTGTTCCCCTCAAAATACTCCACCTGGCTTCGAACATTCTTGCCGCTCTTTCTACTAACCCAAATTTGCTTTTATTTTTTTTACAATTATTTGTTTATTAGTACATCTTTGCCATACACAATTACATTTACAGTGGCGAATCTGTATATGAACAGAACCCATCTTATTTCTTTTTTGTCCCTTTCTCCTACATCCCTGCTCCCTTCAATTTTTATTCCAAATCATACGTGAAAAAGCACTATTTCCATTTTCTCTTTGATTCTCTTTTTAATCCCTTTTCCCTTCCTTCCTTCTCTCTCCCTCCATCTCCTGTTCTTCTTCCCAAGTGAAAAAGATACCCTTTATTTTGCTCTTTCTTTATAGCTTGGGTCTCGCACATAAGAGAAACAATGCGATGTTTAAACTTGTCTGATTTACTTCATCTAACGTTATGCTCTCAAGGTGCATCCATTTACCTACAAATGCCTCAAGTCTACCCTTCTTTATGATTGTTGCCAGTTTCTGCAGTAGTTCTGGCAGTCTTCTTTCCTGCATGTCTTTAGTTGCACTGTCCCGGCTGCCTTGATGTCTTGAACCGATTCAAAATATTTACCTTTCATAGTCATTTTGACATTAGAGAAGAGCTTTCTCTTGCATGTTGCCAGATCTGATGAATAAGGTGGATGAGAAACACCATCATGTTTTTACAAGCCTGCCTTTCTTCAGAGGGCACTCAGCATCAGCATTCACTGTATTTTTATCATACACGTACAGATAAAAAAGACTTCCAGAACTGCCTCAGAAAGTGGCAAGAATGTCGGCATAAGTGTGCACAAAGCAAAGGAGAATATTAGTGGCAGTGTGTCTTTTACTGCCAGAGAATTTTAAAATTTAAACATTTACCATATTTTTTAACCAACCCTTGCCTGCAGCAGCCACCTATTATCATGACTGTTTAGCAGCCCCTACCAACTAGTCCCTGAACTGTCTGATGAAAAGAAAGCGAGGAAATAAGATTTCACAGATCACCAGGATTAATTTACAAAAAGCCAAAGGAGCTTTAAAATTAGGTGAAAAAAATTATCTAAAAATCTATTATAATCTGCTTTGAATTAGAGTGCTTACCATTAATATCACTCGTCATACTGTAGCTGGATAGGTGGCAAATCAGTATGACTGAAAAAGTTAAATATAATTCTTAAGAGACAGAAAATAATACCAAGTATGGCAGAGATTTTACAAACAGTTAACTTACTGCCAGTCTTTATTACAGTCCTTACTCTAAAATTTTAAAAATAATGTATCACAATTTATAGCAATGATAACCATCTTATTATTTAATAACCACTAAGGTCCTACTTTATGAATTTTCCACTAGGAAAATAACGTTCCAAAACATTTAGTCTATCAAAAGTAATTTTTAAAGTAAATTTTATTTATATCGAAACAAAAATGGACAGTTCACTACCTCTCACCTATTTTTCATTTTCCCCTCAGTTTCTCTATTTTTCTATCTTGTATTTGCCCCGTCACTGAATTTACAGAGGAAACAATATATATCATTTATATACTAAAGCAAATATTAACAAATCTTAAGACATTTTTAGAGAAAAGGAGGATACAGTTTGTGAAGATAAAGAGAATTCATTTATTTAACATTTAAAAACTAAAACTGCCAGAGCTTCTGAGAAAATTCACAGGCTTCCCCTTCTTCACCTTGGGTGGTTTTCCAACAACCAGTATATTATTCCCATAGATAGATGAAGCAAATGTATAAAAGGTTTATAGAGATTTCTGTGCTAAGTACCAACGGCTAGCTTGTCCAGTGTCTACCATGTCTGGTCCCAAGGGTAAAACTCTCAGGCCTTTGGCTGCATCCCCAGGCTCCCACATCTGACTGTTAGGGGAAAGGTACAATGCTAGAGGACTTGTATGGTTTGGCCTGGTGCCTTGCTGCACATTTAGCTGTGTAGTTAATCTCACAGAGCTGCGCCCACTGTGGCATGCCTGCTATTCTTTACCATCTGGAGCCTGGAGTTGATATTAGCTTGAACCACACAAGCAAGAGAAAAGAAAAGAAACCCTCATTCACATTTAACTGAAATTGGTGGCTGAATAATGCACTATGCTGCCTAGGCTTTTACACGTGTAAGAAAAGGGTAAAGTACAAACCTTCTCCTTTGTTTTCTGGTTCTCTGCTCTAAGGTCTTCATATTCGCCTATAGCTAAAAGAAAAAAGAAAAGCAATGTTACAACTCCATTGGAAGTTTACTATGGAAAAACCTGAGAACCCAACTTATGCCACTGACTATTTACTAGGTTGGGGTAGGGTGGAGAAGAAGCCACAAAAGCCTGCTGCCTGTAAAAGCAGGGTAGAAAAAGAGATCACAGCAGACGGGAGCCCATCAAACTGAACTTCAGATCTCCCTACATCACTAGGAAGACCTAGGAGCTAAGGGAAGTGACCTGTGACAAGTCATTCTTCCTCTTTCATGCTCAGCACATGGTCCTGTGAAAGGGTTTAGGTGGGTGTTTCCTCCCAACGCTATTAGTTTATGCTACAAACAGAGGTTTATCTAGAAATTATCTCTAGAAAACAAAGTAAGCTTGTACATTCAACTCAAGTCATGTGTCTACTTTGTACAGAGCAAAAAGTTTAGGCTATGAGCGCTCAACTAAGACCCATTATTTCTCCACAAGACCGCAGTCAGCAAACCATGAGCAGAAACATGCCAGATTCAACCAAATTGGGAATATATGTAAACTGATATATTTCCAACTACATGATGGAGAAAAGTTTTCTACTTAAAATCCTCTATTGCTAAAAAATGAAATAACCTGAACCCCTACATTCATGTTTGAGCAAAAGCACCACTTAAAGTTGAGAATATCAAGTTTAGAATGACAACTTAATATCAAAGATGGAACAGAATCTCAATAAGCCTAAAACTGCTGTTCAACCCATCCCTGGGCACCAGAAATCATCAGATGGGGCTTTTATCATATTAAAAATTTAACTGGGATTTATCTACCAAAAAACAAAAACAAAAAACAAAAAACCTGTTTTTCAAAGAAAGGCAAGGTTGACTATATCTGCAGACAAAGATAAAAATCTGAAATCAGAAGCTTCAAGAATATCTCAGAAATATCCAATTATTAATTCTAAAGGTTAATGCTAACCACTAAGGCAGAGAACATCCCAGAAATAAATAACATGGTGAAGAGTGTGTTCTGTTTCCTCCAGGAGGGATCTACAGATTTCAGAATACCTGCAGCAATGGTAGTGCCAAAATCATTAAAAATTCACTTCAAATTAGTAAATATTTATGGGGTTATACCACCATGCCCAGAACCATGCCCATGGATATAAAATAAAAATTAATATACTTTTATTGAAGCCATATTCCTGATACTCTTGAGCATTAGATGGCTCATAAAACAGTTTTAAATATATACATGTAAAGATGTAATCCTTTTAAAAAAAACTTTCAACAGAAAATATCTGACTGACCACAGAACAAAGCTCTCTGCACTTCTCATCCAGATCAACCCCCACCAAACAATGAATATAAACCAAATTGTCCTTGATCTAGAAAAATCAGTGATATGTGCCCCACTTCTTCACAGAGAGAAACAAGGATTAGGGAAGATTCCAAAATATGCTCTTACACCATTAGATAATCTATGATCATGACCCCAAATCTTATTATTATACCATCTCAAAAAATAAACATGTATCTTATTGAGAAATTTTGGCTTAGATCACTTGACATTTAAAAGTATCTATAGGGGGTGGGGATATAGCTCAGTGGCATAAGCGCCTGCCTGGCAAGCTGAAGGTTGTGAGTTCGATCCCCGGTACCACAAAAAAATTTTAAAAAATAAAAAAATAAAAAAGAAGTATCTATAGATGAAGTTAAAAATTCAAAATTAATTTAATACTCTTATTTGTGATCTACTTCATCAATACACAATAATCTCATATTAAGGAATTTTTTTCTATTTAAAACATCAGTTAATGGCTTTAAAGGCTTTTGTAAAATACTTGTACTATTCTTCCATTATACTGTCAATAGAACTCAGATGGACCATTGTAAACTCCCAAACACTGGATCTTTATTAAAAGCATTAATTAAGTACCCTCCATCGGGGCTGGGGATTTAGCTCAGTGGCAAAAGCGCCTGCCTGGCAAGTGCAAGGTCGTGAGTTCGGTTCCCGGTACCTGAGAAAAACAAAAAAAGCAAAAAAAAAGTACCCTCCATCTATCATATTTTAGTGGAAAGCAGAGAAAATATGCATGTTTGTGGCTATGTGAAATTTTTACAAAAATAAAATAAAGCCTGGTACAAGGAAGGGGAAGGAGAACTACGGGAAGCATTTAACCACTTGGTAACAGGGGATATCTGAGGGATGAGCCATAGATGGAAAGAAAATCATTTATTCCTTTGAAGTTCAAAAACCAAGCTCCTCGCCCTAAGGAGCACTTATACATACCCAGAAATATATATGCATATATATCACAGTACAGATATATGTAACCCCATCCTCAGCAAAGCTGGCAAAAATTGAAGCGGCTTTTTATCATTCCGCTACTTTTCAGATGGCAATGAATGTCAAGGGAAGGCAGAAAAAGCCTTCTTACTGTTTCAGAACTGGCTCACAGTTTGCAGATTTTGAAGTAAGCTTGTGCCACACAAGTGATTTGATGAGAGACCCTCTGAACTCTAAATTAACCAACATATTAGAAGAGATGCATAAGAAGCAAGATATATCATGCACAGGTACAGGTATCCTATGATGAATGTTATCATTATGTCTATGTAAAATGTACCCATAAAACTTTTAAAATGCAAAAAGAGAGAACAAACATTCAAAAAAAATAAATAAAGAGATGAATGTGACCAATTCTCTGTCATAGGAAAGTCACAGCTTGGGAAGCCTTCGTCTCTCAGGTCCGCCGGTACAGCATGTGCCACTGTGCAGTAAGGTCATCCAGGTCAGTAATTACAATGCGCAGCTGGCTCTCATCCTGAGCACCTCTTGGCCAGGGAAGCTGCAGCAAGTCACTTAATCTAAGTCTTGGGTTCCTCATCCAGAAAAGTGTCTCCCATGGTGCTGTTATTCAGAGTAAATGCGTTAGGGGCTGGGGATTTAGCTCAGCGGCAAAAGCGCCTGCCTGGCAAGTGCAAGGTCGTGAGTTCGGTTCCCGGTACCAGAGAAAAACCAAAAAAAAAAAAAGAGTAAATGTGTTCACATACATAAGTGTTCAGGTGCCTGAATCCTTCCCTACACACTAGCCATGCTAGCCATGCTAGTCATGTTTATTACTACTGCAGTATTACAACAACTCTTCAGTATGTGATGAAAGAGATTAGGCTGCTCTGGCTTTCAGGCTTACTTTTGTCTCATGTGGCCCAAAAGATAGCTAACTGGAAAAATCTCTGAAGCCCAAACTCCTACCATCCCCCACCAAATCAAAGAGGTGGAAAGGGACTGAAGATCAAGTGCAAACACTCTGTGTTCTAAAGAACCGTGGCAGAGGAGCGGGAGGACATCTGAGGACTTCATCTTTCAATCCTGACCGCATGCGGGAATCTTCGGGGGAGTTGACAATCACACCGAAATTGACTCCCTCTCCACACTGTCCTGCCCTCCCCAAGATTCTGGGGTGGAACGCTGGCATCTTTTTTTTTCAGAAGTGAATGCTGGGGGTAGTGAATAGCCAAAACTGGGAACCATCCATAACAGCAGAGAATAGAAGAAACAACAAGGTGGTGGAGAATACCAGGCAGAGCACGTGTTTTAAGAATCATGCTGCTTCTCCACCTTCTAACTCAATCATGCCAAGAAAAGGAGTTTTCTCTCCACGCTACAAACATGACATTGCCGGCCCAAGAGGCAACTGAGCAGACTTAGTTGTTTCAGAAATGTGACAACTAAGGTTCATAACTATAAGCCAGTAACACCCTTGGTGAGGGTTCACAACCACCACGGCTTGCCTGTGACCGTCTGAGCACTGAAAGCCCAGCATCCCTGTAAATACCAGTCCTAGGAAGGCTAATTGCCCTACCTTTATCATCCCCAGATCAGCATTTCCCACCAACTGTTTCTAGAATTGCACAGTCTATTATACAGCCATTACCAAGAGGTAGCTAGGTGTTAATTATTTCATTTAAACAAAATGTAAAATTCAGTTCTTCAATAGTCACATGTGGCTAGTGGACACCATACTGGACCCTGAACACAGAACCTTCCCACACAGAAAATCCTATTGGTCAATACTATTCTGAACATCTCTGTCCAGATACCATGTAAGCACCTCAAACACAACACGTCAGAAAGCGAGCACAACACGTTCCTTTTACCCAAGCTTCCTGCACTCAGGATTTCCTCTACTGCTGTCGTCATCTACCCAGCCCTGAAGCTGGTACCCACAGGATGAACATTGAGTTCATTCTCTTCCATCTCCAAAGGATTGTCAGATTCCTCCCATCTCTATAAATATTTCTCTAATCTGCTTCCTCTACAGCCAGTATCTTTGCCTAATTCAGACTCTCAGTATTGACAGAACTCTAATGCTAGCTTCCCTCTCCCTGAGTTCATTTTCTACACAGAAAGTAGCCTACTGATAAAGTAAGCTACTTATTTCATTTCCTTGCTTAACAATTGCCAAAGACCTTAGCTTCACAACTTGGCACCCAACTCTACTGCCCACATTCAGCCTTGGAGGCTTCAATCTATTCCATCACAGCCAAAACCCCAGTGCTTCCCTGACCTTTCTGCCTAGGTGCCTTTGCAAATGTTTTCTCCTCTACCTGCCAAGTTCTCTTCACCTCCTCCTTTGCAATGCAGTTCAATTCTCAATTCTTCTAAGAAGCCCTCTTCATATATCTCAGGCTAAACCAGCACTTATATTTTAACGTACCACCAGAGTACCTTGTTCACATAAAGATTAATTATCCTTAATCCAAAAAATCTGAAACTCTTTAAGTGCCTAAGTTTTAGATTTGAGAACATTTCCAACTTTGGATTTTTGCATTAGGGATGCTCAGCTGGTAAAATCTATGCAAATATTACAGCCATCCACCTCCCAACCTAAAATCTGAAACAAGCATTTTGGGGAAGGGATATTCAACCTCTACCTCTATGAAAGCCATATATGATATATATATATATATATATATATATATATA